CTGGCTGTATTATTAGTCAGAAAGTGACGCTGGGCTCATATCCCCACAATCTTTATAAGGAGTGTAGTGGTACCAGTACCTTCATTCTCATCTGCTTTTCGATTATGTATCGTGCATTGGAAGACTAAGCAGATTCAGCCGTGTGTGCAACTGCCGTATGGAAATCAATTCTGCAAACAAAGAACCGTTTGCGGCGTTTGAAATCATGTGGTATGTGAAAAAAATAGCGTGACAGCTTCGTGGTGAGTCAACTTGAACCTGTTTGGCTAGCCTGCGTTTCATTGGTTGAACTGCGGGCTCGGCGAAGCCTGTTGAAGCTGTGTGGTACGGCGCAGTGGTTACATGCTGGGCTATTGTCTGAAACGACTATCTTCGGTATTCGAACAGCAGAAAAAGCGGAGCGTTGTTTTTTGATTTCAGAAAAAGCAGAACAAGGTTTTGAGGTCTAACTAGCCTCAGTCTACTTAGGGAGACATCAAGCACCGCCAATATCATAAGGCCTTGGAATAATTTAAAATAGCACATAGTTACACCTTTCCATGGCGATTCAGATCACACTCAAGACTTCGGAGACACCTTCCGTAAGGTTTTGCGTGCTATTTGGCAGATGTGGCACGCTTTTGCAATATTTTCGATATCCAACTGACGGAACAGTAGTGTAAAGTTAAAAAAAGGATAATGACTCACGTAAATGGGGACTTTGCATTTAGGATAGGGCTTGCAGTCTTTTCTTATGACTTCGTTGGCTTTGTACTCGGCGATCAGCTGATTTAGGTTATCCTTGCCGAACTGCAGTTCCATTTGAGCTCGTCCGTCTACACCGGCCTCATCGTAGCGGGCAACGACTTCGGCCACTAAAAGGAAACAGAGAAGGGCATTTTGAGGTCCACAGCAAAGGACCACCCAACCCTGATGACACGGACAAAATGAGCAAACAAGGGCTGGTTCACTACCCCGAAACTATTAAAAGACAGGTCGTTCGTCGACTTGACTCCTTATTACTCATATCTGTGCTCTATCTTGAGTGTGACCACCGCCTCACTTGGGACGGTACCGAATTGATCGCCATAGCCAGCATAAAACAAGCGCAAAATTTGCTCTTATCACGTCAGCCCAGAACAACCAGCGTCAACCGCCATGTCGATGTAGATGCACACTATGCAGGTCTGCGTGCACGACTTACTGACTCCCTCTAACCTTAAGGCAGCGATTGCTTATCCATGCTCGACCAAGCGGATATTTATTG